AACAAACCAAAGGCGCTACGAGTCCGTTGTGCGCACGAAGACTGATCATTCATCGTAGTTTGTTCCGCCATCCTGTGTCATTGGACTACAAAGCTGTCGCATGATCTTGCTTTCGCACCTGCCGGATCACATGTGAGTGGTCCGTTTGTGTGCTGGTCGCTGGTAGAGAACTGCTTTGACCTACTTGCACAGTGGGCGATGGTTCCTTTCACCTTTCGAGCGTATGTGCCATTACTCCCAGCCCTTCGCAACGCATCGACTGAATGGCTTGAGTTCAAGATGCCAATATTCGGCCAAGACTTGAAAAACTCTTGCTGCGTCTAGAGTCTAAACCCTAAACCCTAAACCCTAAACCCTCAACCCTCAACCCTCAACCCTCAACCCTCAACCCTCAACCCTCAACCCTCAACCCTCAACCCTCAACCCTCAACCCTCGACCCTAAACCCTAAACCCTAAACCCTAAACTCCCACGTGTCACCCCTAAATTTTCACAGCCGTGGGCAGGGCCAGCCACCACTGCGATTTGTGAAATTCGGCTTCCCGTACCGCTGTGAGACCAGCTCCTTGGCGGCGAGAGATGTGAGGAGTTTAGGGTTTAGGGTTTGGGGTTTAGGGTTGAGGGTTTAGGGTTTAGGGTTTAGGGCCCTATTGGGTGTTCGGATGATAAGGGAGCCCTACCATTCGGGGATCTATCTAGATATCAGCACGGTACTTCTGGTGCTTCTTGTGGCAACTGCTTCGGCTGTGATGACTGCTGATGTGTACGATTGTAATTGTCAGCCTTCCCACGCGCTATGGAGTCCCGAGGTTGGGTGTGAACTGCATGGTTGGTATGCGCAGGAACAGTTGAGCTCCGGCGTGGAGCTTTCCTCACGAGTTTGGGTTTGTGATGGTGCTCCCACAGTCTCGCTGTCGTAATGTTAACAATAATATTCTTCTTCTTCTTCTTCTTATTGTTTGTATTGTTAGTGTTATCATTGTTATAATTATGGAATATTTGTTAAGGATAAGTACGAGTATTGCTAATATTGTTAATATTATGGTGTCTCGTTTTCGGTGCCTCCATGACTCAAAATCGTGCTCTCGTGTGGCGTAGCCTCGTAAATTCGGCGAGACATAGCACTCACAGCACTCTCGCATGGAGCGTCTGCGTTGGCTCACAGGGTCCTCCAGTGTCCTTTAGTTGTCTGAGTGTGTGCTGGGAGTGCTCAGGGGAGGGTTTAGGGTTTAGGGTTTAGGGTTTAGGGTTTAGGGTTTAGGGTTTAGGGTTTAGGGTTTAGGGTTTAGGGTTTAGGGTTTAGGGTTTAGGGTTTAGGGTTTAGGGTTTAGGGTTTAGGGTGTGTCATGATGGCTTCAGGATGCTCAGCATCCTCTCCAAGCTTGTTCTGTGATTCCTCACTGCCTGCTCCAGATGTCAGCTTGAGTTCTTCTGTGCCTTTTGTGCACTGGCGCAAGAAGTAAGGTTCCGGCGAGAAGCAGATCAGCGACCTGCGCGCTCTTGTGCAAAAGTCGACCGACTTTTCCTCGCATGAGTTCAGCGGCATGCTCATTGTACAGATGAAGAACGCCAAGCCCGCGAGTCACTGAATGACTGGGCCAAGTACAGCAAGTTTCCATCTCCCCCCGCTTTTGACGACGTCTCCCCACCTTTTGACGTAAAAAAACAAAATTCGTGCACCAGTGTTTTAACCTGAAGCAGACCGGTGCATGTCTCAGGCCGAGATTCTTGGCCTCTCATGCCCTTTGCCAGGGATGTTCTCAGCCCCTTTGAGGCTTTTGGACTGATATGAATTGCAAGACGCGAATTCGTCAGCCCGAAGAGCATTGACGGCAATGTCGAGTGGTGTGTGGTACTATAGGGGTCGGGAATAGTAACCAGCAGGTGGTCCCTTTTGGTCCCTTTATAGGCATTACTCTAATTATTAAGGCCCCTATGGTAGCTCATTGGTGCTGACTACTGCCTTGCACCGGGCCATGTACTGGCCGAGCAAAGCAGCTTTGTACATACATTGTGTAGAACTGCAAAAACCCAAATCAAATCGGAGTTTCCCACAAATATCCCCACAAGCCAACTCCAAATATAGAACGCCCCTCAGTCCCAAATTGCCCACTACAAGCCTGGGGCCCCTCCGCCAATATGAGAAACTCCCAATTCGCACCGTGTACAGACAGTTTTGGGCTTGCAGAGCCGTCGCCCTCTCCCGGATTGGCCAGCAACTGCTCACAACGCCATGGCACGAGTAAGAGCAAGTGTCAGAGCACTAGGTGGGACTTTACGACAACTTTGTCACTTTATGAGTTTTGGATTCTTTAATCTCATGTTAAAGTCAGCTAAAGGTTAAACTGTTATTGGGGGGTAATGGATCAACCAAGAGCATGTCAAGGGACGCATTGCCATTTATGAGGGGTTCAGGGTTTAGGGTTTGGGGTTTAGGGTTTAGGGTGCTTAGGGTGTTTAGGGGGTTTAGGGGGTTTAGGGGGTTTAGGGGGTTTAGGGGGTTTATGGTTCGGCAGTCGTAGGGTCAGTTTTGGTTGTCATGGCTGTTTGCTGTTGTTGTTTGTGCTCGTGGTACTTGTGCTTGTTGACCATTCTTGTTGCGGGTTGTGATTCTTGTTTTTGCCTACAATTAACCCTAAACCCTAAGCCCTAAGCCCTAAGCCCTAAGCCCTAAGCCCTAAGCCCTAAGCCCTAAGCCCTAAGCCCTAAACCCTAAACCCGAAAGCCCTAAACCCTAAACATGGTCGAACAGGCCTTAAAACTAGTTCCCCGTTCCTCGTCGGGAATGATTGGGTGGGAGGGGGGGGGAGGAGGAGGAAATGAATCCTTACAGCAGCCTTGACACGATCCCCTTTGAAGAATCCATATAACCAGCTTCCCCAGTCCGCAAACCCAGCCCATGTTGAGAATCAGCACGGCCTTGCCAGAAGGCAGTGGGGGCAATTGGGAAAAAGTTCATCGGGATGTACCAAGCGGAAGAAGTCTAGATTTGTCAACATGGGTCTGCATCAGCATCCGGGACCCTGACACAGGCCTTATTGTCGGGATGGTCTTGCTGAACTCGGTTTTCAGGCAGTCATAACCTCGAGACACTTTCGATTCAAGATGTTGGCATCTTCACGCGTGCTGCCGGACTTGGCATGCAGACACGCCGGGCACGTGCTCTCTTCGATTGCACGTCTCTTGTCTTGCCCCCGCAGTTCCGTTAGCAGCATTTCTTTTTTTGTAGCTTTGGGTTTCATCTGTGTGGTTAAGCACACAGGTCAGTTCGCGAAAATATGGCCCTTCTTGCCCAGAAGTGAGAGAACTGCCCAATAAGTCAGCTGCAAGGATCCGCGCCTGCGTGAAGCAGAACCCTAAACCCTGAACCCTGAACCCTGAACCCTAAACCCCAAACCCTAAGCCCTAAGCCCTAAACCCTAAACCCTAAACCCTAAACCCTAAACCCTAAACCCTAAACCCTAAACCCTAAAGGTGAAGCTAGCAGGTGGCCAGTCCTTTTCAATACCTCCGCCAGTCGGCGGGCCGGCCTGTAGAGCTGGCTCAAAGAGAGACACCCGGAGAGGACTAAAAGAGCCGCATGTTTAGGGTTTAGGGTTTAGGGTTTAGGGTTGAACAACAGAGGAATATACGAATATCATGGTGTTAGAACTGTACATAGTAACAAAAACTATCACAGATATCTAGTGTTACACGAATATTCTGGTACACGAGTATGGCGCTATGCTTGAAGAATGTGAGTCAGATGCGGTTTCGATGGTTCGGTATGATAAATTGCCGATACTAGCATACTAGCTAAGGATGCTTGCGTGTTGAAAAGTCTCCCTCGCAAGAATTGAGAATTGATGACTACTAGAAACTACTGTGCCTCAGTCTAGAGCAGATTGAAATAGCAACGAATTATGCTGCTTTCACGTAGTGGATGAACATGTGCAGCGACATCGCTACATGACTGGTTCATGCTTAGTATCCCTTGGGGAAATATGGCCCCTAAACCCTAAACCCTAAACCCTAAACCCTAAACCCTAAACCCTAAACCCTAAGCTGCCGAGAGCGCCGCTGTCCATTTACATGGGCGCTCGAGGCTTCGACCGAGGTCCCCGACCGAGCGTCTTTACAGAACGGTGAGGGAGGGTAAAGCCTCCCGGTAGACGAGGCCTGCAGTGCCTGGCTACGCCTCAGACTTAGGGCGTAAGCCCTAATATAATTAGGACCCCAAACCTAGCAGCGTTGAGGGCGTTTTGGCTTTTTTAGAGTCGTACCCCCCGGGGGGGCTGGGGCCCTAGGCTGGCAGATTCCGGGGACCCCCCGTCCTGCAGGGCTGGTGTAGGGGGCAACCTGCCTCCCTGGCACCGCCCTGGGACCTCCCTGGGACCCCCCTTGAAAAGTTCAATGGAGCAGTTTGGGATACACTTTCAGGTATCACAACATTCACAGCAGTGAGCAATTCATCAGTCACACTTGTTTCAGCACTTGAACCTTGAGCCAAAGCAGTGACGACAGCTTTGGTCACATCAGGCAGTGGATACTGCCAGGGCTCTAGAGGGAACAGTGTATTCTAACACAGTCCCTTGAGTCAACACTTCAGTGTTCGACTCACATCAGTCGTCTCGGCCATTGCGAGAAACTTAGCAGCAGTATACTGACAAATCAATACCATCACATATTGCAGTAAACTCATCCAAAGCAGCAGTAACGAATCAGGCTCATCCAGTGCTTTTGCTTTCAAATTGCGAACAGTATCAGCAGCAGGCCTGTACAGTGCTGCTAGGTCTTGCTTCAGCTTTGCAGCTCGCAAGACAGTCACCAAGACCAGTGAGCTGTCGGCAGTTGCAGCTTACTTTGCGACCAAGCCAGTTTCAAGGGCTTTGAGCTTCAGTGACTCTGCAGTCACTCATCTTCTTCAGTCGGAAAGGGTCCCCAACTCAGAGGCCAGTCTAATGTCAGTGACATGGCATGAGTGGATACCCCCATCGACTATCTGCAGTTCACTGCAGTATCTCACTCCGCTGGCGAGACAGTGATTGAGACTTGATGCTCAGTCCCAATGGCTCGTCTCAGACCAGTGACTACCGTGGTCAGGGCAGTCGCTTGGGCCTTGTCACCACCAGTGCCAGTGCCTCCTGGTCTCCACGAGCCAGTTGGCACATCATCGTCAGTGATGAACTCTCCCAGCTGGATGGCAGTTGCCTCAGTCCAAACAGTCGCCCCGATGACGATGTGACGACAGTTGCGATGCCAGTCATCAGCAGTGGATCGGGCGAACAGATCCTTTGGCTTCCAGCCGACCAGTGTCCAGCGACGGATGGACCCACACTCTTGGGCATTCAGTGTGAATGGCACCTCAGTGAGCCCGGGGTCAGTGGTCACGATGTAATCACTGTACCTGCGATTGAAAAACCGCAGTGTGCCTTCAGTGACCAGATTGATGAAATGCACAGTGGTGAACCGAAACGCCACCAGTGTCCACGTCTGCTCAGCAGTGTCAGTGGACTCCTCGGTCTGTGTCTGCCACAGTCCACGGCGCCACAGTGCAGCTCGAGCACTCATCGACAGATTGAACTGTCCAGCATAGATTCCTTCCAGTGAAAATTGGCCAGTCGTCCGCAGTGTCTCAGCATCTTCACTGCGAAGACAAATCCAGCAGTGCTTTGCCACCAGTGTTTCAGAAACACTTGATGGTTGGCGATTTTCACTCTCCAGTCTCTTGAACAGTGTAGCCTCTTCCTTGGTGTATTCCGAACACCAGTCGATGAACGGAAACAAATCCACAGTTTCCTGCACAGCATCGATGATGACGTCAGTGCAGTCAACCAAGGTGTTCAGCACGGTCGGCGGCAGTCGGATTCTCTCCGACCCATCAGTCGGCTGTCCTGCGAAGAAGCAGTGCAGTCCACAGGACGAGAGCACCTCTCGGACAGTGCACTCCAAGAACCCAGTTGACTCAGTGGACCTTTTCACCAGGTTCCACACTCGATCCACTTCCTTTGCGAGCAGCATTCGCAGGTCGGCATAGCTCGTCCAGTTATCCAGATTGCCAGCATCAGTGGGGAACTCGGCGTTCATCACCCAGTACCAGTTGGCAATGTCACCATGGTACAGCGCGGGTGGCCTCTCAGTCTGGATGTGGACCAGTGGCCTTTCGACCACATTGAACGGCCAGTCTCCCATTGTTGTGTCGGGCATCTGTCGCACCAGTGACAGTCGCTGCATTGCTGCAGTTGCCTCTTGCATCAGTTGCTCATTGTGAGCACGCACTGACTCAAGCTCAGTGACGCGCATTGCTTCAATTGCGTCATCCGCCTGCGCAGCCAGTGATGCTTCATTGGCCAGTTGGCGGCCAGTGCTTGAGGATCCCTGGGAGGTGTGCGACATGGCGGCAGTCGATGGAACAGTGAGAAAGCAGAGGGCAGTTAGGCAGTGACCTTTGAGTCGCTCAAAAACACAACATGTAAAACAGTGCAGCCCAAACTTCTATGTACAGTTTTCTTTTCTACACATGACACATGTAAAAGACAGTTTTCCAACTTCGAAGAAAACAGTGAAAAATCGTTTCGAATCGACGAAAACAGTGAACGTGGTTCTCTCCTCTCAGTCTCTTCTTTCTGCACAACAGTACATGCACAACTGCACAGTGACACTCAGCACAAGCAGTGCTTTGCTTGCCAGTGCTCCTTGGGAGCAGTGCTTGTTTGTCTGTTTGTACATGCACAGTGAACAAGACAGTGACACACAACGCACACAGCACAGCAGTGTTGCTTATGTTTATGCTGCAGTGTTGTAAATCCGCAGTGCCTATGGCACGAGGCGTCCAGCAAACGAAACAGTCCTGCAACCAACCCCAAACAGTGCATCAACCGCGGTGCATCATCACGAGCATCAGTACGCGGGCGCACACAAAGGGGGCACGCAAACAGTTAGAACAGGTTACTATGAACGCCTAAGCGTCCTTTTAGTGATGACAGTGTTTCAACGCTGACATATTTGGTGAGCAAATCGGCAGGGTTGTTCAGTGTTCCTACCTTCAGGACCTTGATCAGTCCAGCTTTCACCAGGTCTTGCATATAAAGGAACCTCAGTTCCACATGCTTAGTGCGCTTGCCAGCGCCGAAACGCGTCGCCATAGATTTGCCTGCAGTGGAATCAGTGTACACGTGAACATTGACCTTGCGGGTCAGTCCACTCTCCAGCAACAGCGCGCGAACGAACAGTGCCTCGCTCGTGCCTTGACCAATTGCATACAATTCAGCTTCACCACTTGACAGTGCGATTGTTGATTGCGTGCGTGCAGTGCTTTGAACATTACAACCAAGGACATTCACAGTCGAACCAGAAGTCGACTTGCGTGTCTTGTTGCATCCAGCCCAGTCACTGTCAACATACGCATTTACATCCACAGGGACAGTGGCTCCAGACAGCTGGTGCGTCGGTCTCAGCTTCAACACCGACAGTTTGGTACCAGACAAGTACCTCAACAGGTGTTTCAACTTTCCAACCGACTCAGTGGTGGGAGCAGTCACGTCGCGTGACAGTTCCTTCACCGCGTATGCAACATCAGGCCTTACAAACGCATACCATAGCAGTTTGCCAACCGCAGTGCGATACTTCTCATGGCCTTCTTTATCCAGTGGCTCAGGCATCACCTGTCTCAAGGATGACGACCCAGTCGTGGCAACAGGATTGCACTTCGACAGGTTGTACATTTCAAGCAGTTTGTCAACATACGACGGAGACATGCACACATCAATGCTATCACCGCAGTGACGCAAGCGGCGACCAAGAAACGTGTGCTCAGTCCCTTCGACCAACTCACCAGTGATCTTCACGATCAGCTCTTTCTGCAGTTCTTCAAGAAACTGCCGTTTGAGCTTGTCATCTCCAATGATCAGTAGATCGTCAACATATGCCAAGACAAACAGTGAACCACTTTCATGACAGTAAAGATTGCCATCGGACTTGCAGCGCTTGAACTTCAGTTTCTGCATCGTAGCAGCAAAATGGTCTTGCCACAGTTTAGGCGCTTGACGCAGCCCGTACATTGCTTTATTCAGTCGCCAGAGTACTTTCCTGTCAGGGTAGTACTCAGCTGGCGGCCAGACGAACACTTCGTCAGTCATTGCTGCGTGTAAAAACGCAGTTGACACATCAGCAAGCGTGATCGTCCAGTTTCGAGCAAGGGCCAAAATCAGCAACACACGCAGTGTCACCAACGACGGTGTGCTCGCGAACAGTGAATCCAGGTCCAGTTGGCGAGAGTCCTGGAAGCAGCCTTGAACTACGAGATGCATTCGCAGTTCTATGTCAGACTTCCAGCGCTTGACCCATTTCACGCCAATGGCACCCTTCACTTGCTCACTTGAGCAGTTCTCTACGGGCACTTCTGTATACACTTCGAAGTCCTTCATGGATCCCATGTCCTTATTCATGCCAGTTGCCTGTGCTTCTTCAGGAAACTCTTCAGTGGCATCCCAAATGATGGGGTTTGCCAGTTTCGCCTCGGCAACAGCTTCTTCTTCATCACAGTTCACTTCGACGGAAACAGACGACCCATCTTTGTTGCGAACCTCAGTTGCACTTGTCGCGGAAGCAACCCAGGACCAGTCATGCTGATAGGCTTCAGTTATAGCGGCAATTCTTTGCGCTTTGCCCAGTGGCTCAGCGTCAGCTTCAGGATCAGGGCGCGCCAGTTTTGACTTAGGCTCAGCGCCTCCTTCTTCAGCTGATCTCTTGGAACCAGTGGGCGAACTCAAGGGTTCGACTTCAGCTTCACGTTCTTCAGACGCAGTTTGCGGCTGTGTTTCCAACACATCATCCATTGGCTCTCTAGCCAGTCCAGGCGGTTCTTTCACTCTGCCAGTGGCTGTGAGATTTTGCGGCAAAACAGACTCAGTGATCGCATCTTTGCCTTCACCTTTTGGATCCCAAGGCAGTGCGCGGAACATTTGAACAATCTCCTTCTGCCATTGCAGTGAGGGTTGCAGTCGACGGACAGTCCTCACTTTGGTGACTCCATGTTCAGTTCCGATGATCACTTCGTCTGCTTCAGTATCTCGACCAAGCCACATGCCAGTTACCCAGGACGGGAATGCTTTGCGCGCAGCGTGCGGTCCAGTCAACTTTGCTTGCACAACTTCGCCAAAGCAACACAGTCCTGAATTGTAGTCTCTCTGCCAACGACGCCAGTAGCTTGTGTGGCCATCCGCATGTTCAAGATAGCGGTTCAGCAGAAACTGAGCATGCTTCACTGCCCACGGGAACAGTGCATGATCAGATGTCACTTCAACGCCAGTGCTTTCTTGAAGCTGCAGAAGGACAGTTCTCAGCTGTGCGTACAGCGTCCTCTGCATCTGGCCTACGCTGCCCATCGCCTGCTTGTGAGCAGTGGGCGCAGCGCGTGTGCTCATGCCACCAAGCTCTTTAACAGTCGACAGAACTAGGTCCTTCAGTGGATTTTCCTTGTCGTACTGAAGGATACCAAATGTCCTGCCAGTTTCAAACACAAACTTCTTCAGCTCAGCCATTGCGTACGCACCACCTTTCTTGGCAGTTTGCTTGTCAGGTACAACAACAGCCATGCCAAAGCCAGTTTGCACGTCTGTGGCAGTCAACACGGTTCTCAAGGGAAGCGACTTGTGCGTGCTGACATAACAGTAATCCACTTGGATCACAGGCTGTCGATCCACTTGCTTCAGTGAAGGTCCGTGACGACCTTTCGCCTGAACGCAGTGTGGGCACCAATCTCTGAACGGCAGATGTGTCAGTTCATGGACACGTCTTTCTGCCTCAGTGGGTTCCTTAGGAACTTTGAGAGATTTAGCCTTGTAGGCAGTCTCTCGAATCATTTCCTGAACCTCAAGGTTTGGTGCTCTTTCCAGTGGAACGAACAGACAGTAGCCAGTCCAGGTATGACCCAGATCAGCTCTCGGTTCTTCACACTTCGTGACACTTCCATCAGCTCCAATCATGTCAGACCACAAATCCTGAAAACCAGTGTCGATACGAGACTCATCAGTCGACGTCGTGAAGTAAGTGTAACGATCAGCCCACAGCTGGTCAGTTGACACTCTCTCCACATCTAAGGCCGTAGCGCAGTCCTCAGGATGAAAGGCGCAGCTCCTAGGTGTGTGTAACATGCGAATCCAGTACCTTGGCAGCTTCAGCCAGTAATCACTCGTTCTGGATTGACCAGTTAGAGGATCAGGACTGTTGAAGAGCCGAACCAGTTCAGCCTGCATTTCGGGCCCATGATACACTAGGCTTCGCAGTCGCGAAAGGCAGGCATCAGCCTCCGCAGTCTCGCCTCCTCGGCTCGAAACAGGCCTAGAGCGGGGCGGGCGGGCGGGAACAGTGGCAGAAGGGGTGGGCGGGCGGGAAAACGCAGTGACCGCGGGACCAGGGGCGTTCGGGGCGGTTGTCACGCCAGTGCGCGGCGGAACGCGGTCAGTTTTACCACCACCAAAGAATTTCGTTTTGCCTTCGGGCAGTCGGGGGCTCTGTTTGCCCTGATGCCGCAACTCAGGTTTGTAACGCAGTTTGAAAACACACTTACCTTTCCAGCGGACAGTGTCCTGCGCAGTCTTGTCTGCCAGTTTGAGGAAATCAGCATCCCTCACTTCGACAGGCGAAGCTCCACTTCCATACAGTTTGGTGGTTACTCTTTCGCCAGTGAATCTTGACAGTGGGACAGGCAGATCACGACACTGCTCTGGGGAGAACAGTCCCATGCGCCATCGGTGATGATGTCGCGTCAATGTCAAATTTCGCTCATCTAACTCCCAACAGTCTACTGCAGTAGCCAACAATTCATAAATCTTGGAGACTGATCAATGCTGCAGTCTTGCACATCACACACTCCAGACAGTGGCATGTCCATGTCATCTTCGCTCAAGCTCTCCTGTAACAGTTTCGGCAGATCTTTCACACATCGCTTGGCATCCTCAGCACAGTGGTATGGAACCACAGTCGGATTGAGGTAAACCAGTGTACCTTGCCGAACTATCGGGACAGGATCCTGATTCACAGTCAGCAATGCCATGAAATCTTTGCTCATGACAGTCCAGAAGCCTTGCAGCAGTAATCTGGACACACTAACCAGTGGGAACGGTATGGACTTGCACACATAGAAATTGATGCACAGTGAATGACCATTGCAGTCGAGCTGAACGATTCTTCGACCCAGTATTTCAAGGGTTTTACCCGATATACTTCGCAGTGCCGGAGCATCATCATTCAGGGGAAGCAGTGGGTAATCATCAGCAAACCACTCAGGACAACAGTGAGCAGAAGCACCAGAATCAAACAAGATCCAGCTTCTGTCAGTTACACCAGCTTGCAGATGAAACGCAGTGAGCTTGTCTACAGGTGTTGTTGTCTGC